GACCTCACAGCGCCAGGCAGCTGGGTTTGATTCCTCTCTTGGGTGACGGTCTGTGTGGAGTTTGCACATTCTCTCGTGTCCGTGTGTGTTTCCTCTGGGTACTCTGGTTTCCTTCTACAGTCAAAAGATGTGCAGGTTAGGGTGGATTGGCCATGCTAAATTGCCCATAGTGTGTCCAGGAATATGCAGGCTAGGTGGGTTAGCCCTGGGAAATGCAGGGTTACAGGGATCGGATATAGGTCTGGGTGGGGGCGCTTTTTGGAGTGTTGGTATGAACCCAATAGCCTGAATGGCCTGCTTCTATACTGTAGGGATCCTAGTCCATGATTTTCAGCCAATATGACAAAAAAAAAGAGATTATCTGGCAATTACCACATTACTGTTGTGGGAGTTTTCAGTCCACCAATTGATTGCTGTGTTTCCTACATTACCACAAGACCACACTTCAAAAATACCTCATTGACTGTACAGGGCTTTGGAACGGCTGAGGTCATGAAAGGTGCTACAGAAATGCAAATCTTTATGTCCTTTATAATTGTAGACGTCAAAATCGAATCTACCATAGCTAAAATTGTGAACTCAATACTGGCCAGGGATATTCTGTTATAGAAGGTTGACTGAGATGAATTATTATATTGCTGTCGCTGGGTCTGTCTGTAATCAAACTGAGCAAGATCCGACAGGTTTGGTGAAACTATGCAAAGGAAAGTTGTGTGGTTTAGCTAAACCAGTCCACCCACACTGTGTTACGACACAGAATGTATGCAGTTATGTTAACCCATTATACTGCTTCCCTTTTAGAAACTAGTAATTAAAAAGAGGCATTTATATGGGATATGATTGTCAGTGCCAGGATCTTTTGCCCATCCTTAATTGCCCTTGAACAGAGAGGCTTGCTCAGCTATTTCAGAGGGTCAACCATGTTGCTGTGGGTCTGGATTTGGGTGCAGGCAAAACCAGGTAAGGACTGAAGATTTCCTTCCCTGACAATTTACAAGAACAGTTCCAGGAATGAGAAGCCTCAGTGTTGAGGAGAGATTGAAGAAGTCAGGAGTGTTCTCCTGGGAGAGAAGATGGTTGGGAGGAGATTTCAAACTCGTGAGTGAGAGTAAATAGGGTGAAGCTGTGAAAGGAACAAGAATGAAATAGTACACATTTAAATTAATGCGCAAAAGAAGCAAGGGTGATGTGAGAAAAGACTTTCTCACACAGCAAGTAGTTCAAGTCTTGGATGTACTGCCTGGAAAGTGGTGGAGCCAGGTTCAGTTGAGGCATTTAAGGGGGGCATTGGATGGTTATTTCGAGAATATGGGGAGGAATGTGGGGAGAAAGGCAGGAGGTTGGCACTGGGGAAAGGAACAAATGCAGGCATAATGGGCTGAATGGCCTCCTTCTGTGCCATACCAATTCTGTGATTCTGTGAAGGGCATTGACCAGGTGTGTTTGTACAACAGTTGTCATGGTCACCATCCCTGAGAGGAGCTTTCAATTCCAGATATATTTATGCTGAATTCAAATCCCCTCGGCTGTTTTGGTATTATCTGTGCCTCCACCACGTTAACCTGAGCCTCTGATTCATGTGACTTTACCACCAAACCAGCTCAGTAAGGGACAGTAATCACATTAATGATAGTGTGCCTCCTGATCACCAACCTTGTCCATAATTTCAGGAGTGTTGATATTTCATCAGAAGGCAGACAAGTGACAGCGATAATGTCACTGGACTGGAAATGCTTCATGGTTTGGAGACGCACATTTCAACAATTATTGTTTATTTGCTGTTCATTTGCTAGGTTAGTTGCACGCATGTTTGAGTTATTTCTTTTGGCAGCATTTTACCCTGACCAAATGACAATTGCTGCATCTTTTAACGTTCAGCTCTCTCAGGTTTTATCATCTCCGAGCATGTGCTGTTTTTCAATTCAGTGATAATCCTGTCAGTGAAAAATGTAACCTCAGCACAGATTCAGAGAATATTCCAGAGCACTGACCCTGAATTACTGAGCCAAGGAAAGCAGCAAGAATGGCCTTTGAGGATTGATGGCAATGGCTGTAAATAGGGATATGTGATGGGGAAATTCTTCGAGACTATAATGACTGCAATTGTAGAGGACATTGGTGAGACCACACCCGGCGTAATGTGTGCAGTTTTGGACTCCTTATCTGAGGAAGGATGTTCTGGTAATGGAGCAAGTGCAGCAAAGGTTTACCAGACTGATTCCTGGAGTGGCAGGACTGATTTATGGGGAGAGGTTGAATCAGTTATGATTGTATTCACTGCAGTTTAGAAGAATGAAGTGAGGTCTCGCAGAAACCTATAAATTTCTGACAGGACTAGACAGGTTAGATGCAGGAAGAGATAGTAGGAACTGGTGATGTTGGAGTCTGAGATAACACAGTGTGGAGCTGGATGAACACAGCAGGCCAGGCAGCATCAGAGGAGCAGGAAAGCTGATGTTTCGGGTCTGGACCCTTCTTCAGAAAATGCAGAAACATAGAAGATAGGAGCAGGAGTAAGCTATTCAATCCCTCAAGCCTGCTCCATCATTCAATATGATCATGTTGATCATCGAGCTCAATACCCTAATACCCTAAATTTTCTGAAGAAGGGTCCAGACCCGAAACGTCAGCTTTCCTTCTCCTCTAATGCTGCCTGGCCTGCTGTGTTCATCCAGTCTACACTGCGTTATCTTAGATGCAGGAAGGATGTTTCTGATGTTGGAGACATCCTGACCACGGGTCATAATTTAGGGGTAAGGGGTAAACTTTTAGGACTGAGATGAGGAGAAATGCCTTCACCCAGACAGTGGTGAGCCTGTGGAATTCTCTGCCACAGAAAGCGTTTGAGGGCGAAACATTGAATGTTTTCAAGAAGGAATTAGATATAATTCTTGTGGCTAAAGGGATCAAGGGGGGGGGGGGGGGGGGGGGGGGGGGGGGCGGAGGGTGGGATTAGGGTATTGAGCTCGATGATCAACCATGATCACATTAAATGGTGGAGCAGGCTTGAGGGATTGAATAGCTTACTCCTGCTCCTATCTTCTATATTCCTGCATTTTGGAGAACCACTGCTCACTTTAGATCATAGCAGATTATTACACTGCAGTTCCTGGATAGGGTACAGTTACCCAGCTGTTATTTTACATGACTAATATTATTTTTTTCATTCATGGGATGTCGGCTTGTTGGCCCAGCATTTATTGCCTTTCCCTAGTTGCCCCTTGAGAAGGTGGTGGTGAGCTGCCTTCTTGAACTGCTGCAGTCCATGTGGTGTAGGTACACCAAAATACCCTTAGGGAGAAAGTTCCAGGATTTTGACCCAACGACAGTGAAGGAACAGCAATATATTTCCAAGTCAGGACGGTGAGTGACTCGGAGGGGAACTTGCAGGGGGTGGTGTTCCCATATATCTGCTGGCCTTGACCTTCTAGGTGGAAGTGATCATGGGTTTGGAAGGAGTTGTCTGATGGAACTTCGCTGTCGCAAGTCCCTATTCCTCTCTCCTACCCAATCCACTGTGACAAGACCCTCAGCCTCTCCCCTATACCATCCCCACCTCATTGTGACAGTTCCTTCACTACCTCAGCTGCCCCCCATCTCTCTTAGCTACCCTCCTCCCATGCTCATGGGTCACTGAAATTTTCAAGCACCTAAACGGGGTTGCTGTTTTTGATCATTTTCCAGATGCTGTTGTTAAAACTCTGCTTGTCCCTGTTTGCAGTTGGCTCTTGAAAATGGTCTCACTTCAACTGTGAGAGACTGTGACGTCTGAGCTACCGAACATGGCAATCTCAATAGACAGTGAACAAGAAACAAGTGACAGGATGGAGAAATGGTAAAGCTTTGAGCGAGGGAATGAAAACAGGAAACTAACCTCCCAAATAAAACAAAAGTCATTCACTTGTCACGGTGCAGTTATTCATTCGACCACTTTGTTGAAGTTCTGCAAACTCCAAGCATGGGTGCTCATCCTTGTGCTTTGATCTTAATTTTTTGTTTAAAGTGACTGTATTTTTACTTTCATTTCATCAATGCGTTGCAAAGTGCATCACAGCTAATGGATTACAATTAGCCTTATTCGCAGGGTATCACGATCATATCTGACTCAAATTCCCTGGAATTCCAACAGCACTCAAGAAACACGACACCATCCAGGACAAAGCATTCCACTTAAACAACCATCAAACCACCGCCCCTTGATATTCAACAGTGTTACCATCATTGAATCCCCCACTATCAACATCCGGGGGGATACCATTGACCAGAAACTCAACTGGACTCACCACATAAACACAGTGGCTACAACAGCAGGTCAGAGGTTAGGAATCCTGCAGCAAGTAACTCACCTCCTGACTCCCCAAAGCCTGTTCACCAACTACAAGGTACAAAGCAGGAGTGTGAAGGAATACTCCCCACTTGCCTGGATGGGTGCAGTTCCAACACGCGAGAAGTTCAACACTATCCACGACAAAGTAGCCCGCTTGATTGGCATTACATCCAGAAGCATCCACTCCCTCCACCACCAACGCTCAGTAGCAGCAGTGTGTACTATCTACAAGATGCACTGCAGAAATTCACCAAAGATCCTCAGACAGCACCTTCCAAACCCACGACCACTTCCATCTAGAAGGACAAGGGCAGCAGATATATGGGAACACCACTCCCCCTACAAGTTCCCATCTCAGCCACTCACCATCCTAACTTGGAAATATAACACCGTTCCTTCAGTATCGCTGGGTCAAAATCTTGGAACTCCATTCCTAAATGCATTGTCAGTCTACCCACAGCACATGGACTGCAGCGGTTCAGGAAGGTAGCTCACCACCACCTTCTCAAGGGGCAACTAGGGACGGGCAATAAATGCTGAGCCCAGCCAGTGACACCCATGTCTCAAGAGTAAATAACAAATATATTAATGAGTGTTACTTTCAGATTTGAACTGATAATCTGGGTTTACAATTCTGTGCAGCTCCAGTCACTGAAGCATTAACATGTTATACCTCAGTAACTACAGACAAAGACAGAACCTGTTTTCTGAGACATCTTTCACAATCTTAGGATGCCCCAAAGCACATTACAGCCATTCAATAATTGTTTTAAATGTACTTGCGGGAAATGAGGAAATCAATATATGCACAGCAAGCTCCCACGAAAAGCAACAAACCAATGACCAGATTATCTTTTCCTGTCATGCTGGTGAAGGAATAAATGCTGGGGAGAACTCCCCTGCTTTTCTGCCAATGGTATCCTGTGGTCTTTCCAAGTTCCATAATGGTTTAATGTCACATCCAAAAAAAAGACACATCCAGCAGAGCAGACCACCCTCCCCCTCAGTACTGCACTGCTTTCTCGAGACCACATTGGGAGCAGTTTGGCCACCTTTGGTCTCCTTATTTAAAAAAGGTGACATATAGTTTAGGGAAGGTTCACTCGAGTAATGGCAGAGGTTATTTACTGAGGCTACAGTTACTTAGGAGAGGTCTGGATCAAAGATTAAAAGAGTGGGATGTGAGGGGTTTCGACAGCGTAGATGTTCAGAATATGTTTCCCAATAAGGGAGGCGAGGGGCTGAAAACAGAAAACGCTAGAAAGAAGTCAGCGGGTCTGGCAGCATCTGCAGACAGGGAAAAGTTTCAAATATTTCTTCATTTAAATCACAGGATGTGGGCATTGCTGGTTAGGGCAGGATTTAGAGTCATAGATATGTACAACACAGAAACAGACTCTTCAGTCCAACTCGCCCACGCTGACCAGATATCCTAAATTAATCTAGCCCCATTGCCAGCATTTGGTCCATATCCCTCTAAACCCTTCCTATTCATATACCCATCCAGATGCCTTTTAAATGTTGTAATTGTACAAGCCTCCATCACTTCCTCTGGCAGCTCATTCCATACCCACACCACCCTCTGCTTGAAAAAGTTGTCCCTTAGGTCCCTTTTAAATCTTTCCCCTCTCACCTTAAACATATGCCTTCTAGTTTTGGACTCCCCTATCCTGGGAAAAAGAACTTGGCTATTCACCCTATCCATGCTCCTCATGATTTTATAAACCTCTATAAGATCACCCCTCAGCCTCCGACACTCCAGGGAAAATGGCCCCATCCTGTTCAGCCTTTCCCTATAGCTCAAACCGTCTAATCCCAGCAACATCCTTGTAAATCTTTCTGAACCCTTTCAAGTTTAAAAATATCTTTCCTGTAGCAGGGAGATCATAATTGAACGCAGTATTCCAAAAGTGGCCTATTTATTGCTCATCCCGAACTGCCCTTGAGATGGGAGTCATTAGTCTGTGGGATTCTCTATCTCAGAGAGGAATGAAGACATTGAATATTCGTAATACAGAGGTGGAGAGATGAAATAAGAACAGAAATTGTTGGAGAAACTCAGCAGGTCGCTCTCCACAGAAGCTGCCAGACCAGCCGAGTTTCTCCAATGATTTCTGTTTTTGTTTTAGATTGCCAGCATCTGCAGCTCTTTGTTTTATTTTTGAGGTGAATAGATTTTAGACTAACAAGGGAGTCAAAGGAGTTAGGCAGGAAAGTGGAGCTGAGGCCACAATCCAATCAGTCATGATCGTATTGGATGGCAGAACAGGAACAAGGAGCTAAATGGCCTAATCTAGCTCCATTGGCAGATGGGAAATGGAAAGTAGAAATAAACAGACCATTTTCTGAATAGCAGGTGGTGACTACCACCACAGGGATCAGTACCAGGACCCCAGCTATTTGGGTGGGACAGTGGCTCAGTGGTTAACACTGCTGTCTCACAGTGCTAGGGACTGGGTTTGATTCCATCCTCAGGTGCTTGTCTGTGTGGAGTCTGCACATTCTCCCTGTGGTTGTGTGGGTTTCCTCCCACAGTCCAAAGATATGCAGGTTAGGTGGATTAATCATGCTAAATTGCCCATAGTGTCCAGGGATGTGTAGGTTAGGTGGATTAGCCATGGGAAATGCAAGGTTACAGGGATAGGGTAGAGGGTGGGTCTGGGTGGGATACTTTTTGGAGGGTTGGTGTGGACTTGATGGGCCAAATGGCCTGCTTCCACACCGTAGGGATTCTATTCACAATATATGGTAATTATTTGGATGTGAAAACTAAATGTAATGTCTCCAAATTTGCAGACAACACAAAGCTGGGCAGGAGGGTGAGCTGTGAGGAGGATGTAGAGATGCCTCAGTGTGATTTAGTCAACTTGAGTGAGTGGGCGGATGCAGTATAATGTGGATAAATGTGAAATTATCCAATTTGACTTGATTTGACTTGATTTGATTTAATGTTGCCTTGTGTACCAAGATACACTGAAAACTGCTATTTTGTGTGCTATACAGGCAGATCGTACTATATAAATTGCATTAGGGTAGCAGAACAGATTTTAGAATATAGTGTTACATGAAGGAGGATTATTATCTGAATAATACATACAACAAGACCTGGGTCTCCTTGTACACCAGTCACTGAAGGTAAGCATTGCAGGTGCAGCAGGTGCTGAAGAAGGTAAATATATGTTGGCCTTCACAGCGAGAGGATTTGAGTGCAGGAGCAGGGATGTCTTGCTGCAATTGTACAGAGCATTGGTGAGACAACATCTGGAGTATTGTGTGAAGTTTTGGTCTCTTTACCTGAGGAAGGATGTTCCAGTGATGGACAGAGTGCAGCAAAATATTCACCAAATTAATTCCTGGGGTGGCAGGACTGAAGCACGAGGAGAGGTTGAATCGCTTAGGATTCCATTTTCGGTAGTTCAGAAGAATGAGAGGGGCCTCATAGAAATGTAGAAAATTCCAACAGGACTAGGCAGGGTAGATGCAGAAAGGATGTTCCCAATGACCTGGATGTTCAGAACCTGGGGTCATAGTCTACAACATACACGGCAAACCATTTAAGATTGAGATGAGGAGAAATGTCTTCACCCAGAGAGTGGGGAGCCTGTGGAATTCTCTGCCACAGAAAGCGGTTGACGACAAAGCATTGAATGTTTTCAAGAAGGAGTTAGATAAAGTACTTGGGACTAAAAGGATCAAATAGTATGGGGAAAAGCAGGAACAGGCCATTGAGTTCATGATCATCTGTGATCATAATGAATAGTAGGCAGATCAAAGGGCTGAATGGCCTACTAGCTATGTTTTTATGTACATTCGCTGGCCAGACTAGATTAAATGCTATCCTCTCTGGAGTGAGATTCAAACCTAAAACCTATGGTTTCAAAGGTAATTGCGTTACCACTGAGCCACAGATGTCAGCTCACCATCAGTTCCATCCCCCACACCATCACGGCTCAGGCATCACAGCTAAGAACCAGCTCGACTCAACTCACCACAACTTTTCCATCAGTTTCGAAGGAGGCAGACATGCAGCCCGCATGGCACGGAGAGACAAATTCAATGCCATCTGTCGTACAAACTGGATTGTAGGCCTGATCCTTGCAGGAGCATCCTCGATTGCAGCTCAGTTCCAAGCCTGATGTGCTGGACAGTGATGGAAGACAATATTACATGAATTCCCTTTGACCTCAATGACTTTGTGAAGCCAACATATTTTTGCCCACTGTTTTAATTAACCCTCCCAGGGTCACAACTGGCAATGACTTCAACACAGAATAAATCTGTGGAATATCCGGATGATTACAGCACAGGTGGAGGCTATTCAGGCTGTCCTTTCTGTGCTGGCTCTCCAAAAGAGCAAGTTATCTTGTATTTCCCCATGACTTCATATCTTCGTCCTTTTCAGCTAAACAATCCAATTCACTTTTGAGTGCTTCGAGTGACCCTGCCTCCCCCAACACTCCCAGACAGTACATTCCAGACCCTAACCCCTCGAGTGACCCTGCCTCCCCCCACACTCTCAGACAGTACATTCCAGACCCTAACCCCTCGAGTG